TTGCGTAGGAATAATCCAAAGAGAATTTACCAGTCAAGAGAATGGGCCATGCCGATTCAGCACTCTTGGCCGCCCATGCTTCGAGATATGGTTTGCTGTTTGTGGTTGTCGCTTTCTAACCAGAAGGGGTCGAGGTCGCGAGGGAGTTTTAGCAATGCTCAAGATCGGAGCTAAAGAGCTTTCGGAGAGCCAACCAGACGCAGCGCCGGTAGGATACTCCATAAATAACGGGGGCCAGATCGCCGAGGGAAATGCACCTCCAAAGATCGTAATGCCAAGCCACTGCTAGATACTGTCGTCATCATCAAGATCACAATGGTCGCCAGTGCTATTCTTTGTCCATTTCTTCTGGGATTTGCGGCCGTAAGACAACCGGATATTTAGGCAGCATAATTTGTAGATCCTCTTCCATCGTCATATATAACGGCTTTGTCTCCTTCGTATTGATGCTTCGCATCATCTACCATTTCTGCTTAGCGAACAAGAAGAATAATCGCAAACATGGGCCCTGTCCACGTCCTGGACAACTACTACCTCGCCATATCCCTCCTCATCACAGTCGCCTACCAGCTCTTTTTCTTCTCCATTGCGTACAGTCTCAAATTCGATAAATTGACTGATTTTGCTGGTGGTACAAATTTCGTCGTCCTTGCCATAATTACTCTTGCGCTGGGCGGTGACCGCGGAAATGCACGCAACATTATCGCCTCGATCTTCATCATGGTTTGGGGAGCACGTCTCTCGGGGTTTCTTCTTTTCAGAATTCTGAAAACCGGGTCAGATGATAGATTTGACGATAAACGCGACAAATTCTTCTCCTTTCTGGGGTTTTGGGTGGCGTATGTTCTTCCCCTCCCTTTTTTGTTCGTCTTCTCGCCGCACTTTCAACTTCCTCTTTCGAGAACTCATCTATTGAATTTCATATCAATCCTTGCCAACCGTCCTACACTCAAAACTGACACTTCTCTAGCCAAATGCTCTGGGTTTGGACTGTCTCACTCCCCGTCACAATTCTCAACTCCCCCAACGTCTCCCAATTCTCGCAGCCCTCCTTCGGTACCGGCTGCGACATTGCAGGTGTAATCCTATTTTTCATTGGTTTCATCATGGAATCTGTCTCCGACGTCCAAAAGTACCGCTTTCGTACCGCTCATGGCCGTGACGGATCCGTATGCGACGTTGGCTTCTTCAAGTATACACGCCACCCCAACTACTTTGGCGAAATTCTCATCCAGTTCGGTAAGCTCATGTTCTCCACGTTACCCTCCAACTCCGCTCTAACAACAGCAGGCATTTTCACCATCGCCGTCGCCCCAGCCGCCAACCACCGCACAAGCGGCGGCGCGACATCAGCGCTTTACGCATCAATCCTCGGCCCGATCTTCCTCACCACTCTACTCATGTTCGTGTCCGGATTGAACCTGCAAGAACGACCTGGTGCGAAGAAGCGGTACGAAAAGGGTGACAACTGGGATGGGTACGCTAACTACCTTCACCGTACGAGCATTTTGATCCCCTTTCAGCCGAGCGTTTACGAGAAGCTGCCCGTCTTCCTGAAGCAGACGATTTTCCTTGAGTTCCCCATTTATGTGTTCGATCCAGCGAAACATGCAGACCAGGGAAAGACGCAGAGTAATGCGGCGGAGGAGGGCAGAGGAGGCGCTGAAAATGGAAGAGGAAGTGAGGAGCAGAACTTGCGTAATTGAGACTTGCGGTGGAGTAGGGTTGATAGATTTTGTGGGTTGATACCAAATTAGCATTCATGGCAGGCTGAGAGGTGTTGTATCTCTTCGGCATTTGGATATTTCTAAACATGTAATTTATAGAGCAGTGCTGTGATCGTATCAAGCAGTTTGGGTCTTTTTGACTAGCTCCCGCTATCCTTTCTCAAGGACGCCAGAAGGATTTTATTTCTCTGGGTATGATTTTGCGTGTAGTGTCAGTTCTAGCTAAAGAATGAAATAACATAGCTCCTTAGGCGTGGTTTGCATGTCGTGGCAAAAACATGTCCAAATATAGTGAAAAATTGCATGGGGCTGGCTCCTGTTTCTACCTCTTAACGCCCTTTGCTATGATCCGATTCAAAGTGTCCAGCATTTTCAATTCTAAGAGGGGAAAATCGGACGGTGCGCGGATCCGAAGGACCTCGGGGCTTCTAGTAGATCTAGGCTCATGATAGGATATACTGACTTGTTATTCGTACAGCTGAAGGCCCCGTCTATGCTTTTCGACGATACCCAATTCCAGGGTCCTAATTAAGCATATCGCGCGGTTGATATCCGAATTACCAGGTGGATTCAGACATTTGATAGGAGCAAAGAGATGACCACATTGAACCAAAGCGTGGGTTATCGTAGACCCAAACTTACTAAAAGGCTCACGGACTTGATTCGACCTGAACGATTGACTCGACTGCATTTACACCTACAGCACAGCCGAACAAGCCCCGATCTTTTTGAACACAATGGATAGAGCGGATGTTCTTCGTTTGTTGTACAGCAGTATATGTACAGCGCTGTCATCTTAGATATACACCTTCCGTAAACCATGCTTGACGCCGTGACCATGCCATACCCAATATCTACAGCGTCTTCGGAACGCTAGAGCTCATACACACAAGCAAGAAACAGCACCCTTCAAGCGGGTATTTGGAAACCGTATCCAGCCATGCAACTCCGGTATTTGGAAACCAGGTCCTGGCATTCGCCTTGCGGATTGTCGGATTTGGAGAAGAGCATGCATTCGTCGCGAGAGTTCTTTTCTTCTTTGCAAACGCAGCAAGGCTGTAAGTATATTCGATTAGCTTCCGGAACAATACGCGGGGCCATGCGATTGATAGACGTGATCAGGCGTGAAATGTGTACCTTTGGTTTCGCCGCCTCAGTTCCTGGTGTCTTGAGGTCTGCGCCCATATTCGCGGCGGTGGCGGGAGGTGGCATTGCCGGTGCTGTGACTAATTCAGCTTCTTGATACACTCTTTCGATATACCAATACTCACTTGATTGTCCTGAGCCCATTGCGACGGTGTGAAGAGTGTGAGAGCTCGTTGATGGTGCTTGGAAATCAGGCACAGAAATGTCGTCTTGTCGCTCAGGTCATCCGGCTTGGCATTCATGCCCGAGGCGACAGGGATGTTCGCCGCCTGGAACGGGAAGCCCCACCAACAACACTCAATTCACTACTTCCACACAAACACACATAATTACCTTCACCCCGGACTGCTGTTCCTACACCTGTCTCTTGAACTTGAAGTACCTTGTCTTTCATTCTTGGAACCACTTTGCGCCATGGCTTCAACCAAGATTTTTTCCCTCGAAGGCAAGGGCCTCAAGCTCGATACCGCTGAGGACATCGAGCCACATATCAAAGCGCTGCGGGAGAACGATGATGTGGAAGAGATCAAATTCCTAGGAAATACCCTTGGCATAGGCGCCTCAGAGGCACTGGCGAAGGTGCTGGAGACGAAGAAGAAGTTACAGGTTTGTTTACCGCCCTAGCTCTATATTTTTGACACTTCCCATACCTCTACCTCTACCTCTACCCCTAAGAAACAAGCCCCTATCTTGTTCTTCAGTATCTCCAAAGCAGGTGCTGACAGCTTGCTCCCTTTCCTAGATCGTCAACTTCGCCGACATCTTCACCTCCCGCCTCCTCTCCGAGATCCCCCCCGCCCTATCGTCCCTCCTAACTGCCCTCCTCGCGCTGCCCGACCTCCACACCATTAATCTCTCTGACAACGCCTTCGGTCTCAACACCCAAGCACCCCTTGTCGCCTTCCTCGCCTCCCATGTGCCCCTGCGCCACCTCATCCTCAACAACAACGGGCTTGGCCCCGCCGCCGGCGTGCTGATCGCCGACGCCCTGACCGCTCTCGCGAAAAAGAAAGCCGCGGCTCGCGCTTCCGGCGAGAAGGTCCCGGACCTCGAGACTGTGATTTGCGGCCGTAACAGACTTGAAAATGGCAGCATGGCAGCCTGGGCGAAGGCGTATGCGGCACATGCGGGTGTCAGGGAGATCAAGATGGTGCAGAATGGGATTCGACAGGAGGGAATCGCGCATCTGCTGAAAGAGGGCTTGTCACAGACTACGGCATTGCGGGTGCTTGATCTACAGGATAACACCTTTACAGCACTTGGTGCGCGGGCATTGAGCGATGTGGTGGGTCGCTGGCCGGAGCTGGTGGAGTTGGGAGTGGGGGATTGCTTACTGAGCGGGCGCGGGGGTATCATGTTGGCGACGGCACTGGAGAAGGGTGGGAATCAAAAGTTGGAGGTGCTGAGGTTGCAGTACAACGATATCAATGCTCAGGGTGTCAAAGGCATTGCGGGCGCGGTCGAGAAGCTGCCCGTGCTAAGACGTGTGGAACTGAATGGGAACAAGTTCAGTGAAGAGGAAGAGGCGATTGATGCTCTGAGGGAGGTGCTTAGTGCGAGGATGGAGAAAGCCGGAGTCGAGGACGAGGATGACGAAAACTGGGGTCTTGATGAGTTGGATGAGCTCGACAGCGAAGATGAAGATGAAGAAGGAGACGAGGAAGGTGTTGCGAGTGATCAGGAAGAAGAGGGCGTTGAGGTCGAGGAGAAGGCTGCTCGGGAGGTGGCAGATACGCAGAAAGCTGAGGAGGAGCCTGTGGCTCAGAAGAAGGACGAGAAGGTCGACGAGCTGGCAGATATGTTGGGCAAGACCGAGATCAAATAGGTGGTTGCTCGGTGTCGCGGAAACGGCTCTTACCCCTGGGTTGTATGTGTTTGATTGCTTTGGAGCACTGGCAGGCGGTACATGGCGAGTAAATACCTTGGCTAGAGTATAGAAGTCATATCATTATCACTACTATATCTCTACTTCGAAATATTCCCCTTTGAACTCCTGAAACCTGTCGAAGCTACCTTCTCATACTAAAAACAAGACACATGTCTCTTTCACATTCCCTTTATCTCATCCCTCCCAATATCACTCGAGGTATACACAGACCGCGAATTAGTGAGCAAAAAAAAGATTCTAGCGGCTGCTGAGAGTCGAACTCAGTACCCTCTGATAGCACTACTGCAGTCAGACTATGGCGCTGTTAGTTTGTTGTTTTCCACGTTTGTAGAAGTCACTCACTGCTCTACCGCTGAGCTACAGCCGCGTTTTGATTGGACGATGACGAGGTTTGATGTGATGATATAGGTGTAGTTAATGCTGGTTGTGTGCGAGAAATCCTGGGAATATTATGCCGCGTGTGTTTGCGGGTTGGGTAAAATGGATAGTGCATAAGGAGCAAACAAGTGCATTAGCACCAACAAATCGCATGAGGATATAATTCTAACAGAATGACCCCTTCAAGCGCCACCAAGATGTAGGGATCACACAGTCCATTGATACTGCTAGCTTAACGCCTGTCTTAAGCATAAGCGGCCTTTTGACTAGTGCGAAAGTCAGGCTTACTGTGGGATACTGGCGGCTGTTATAGCCAGGATGCGCTAGGATACCTACTTTTCCGCAGGCGAAGAGCTAAAGGGGCAATGGATAGTCGTGCTAATAATGGGTAGCTAGGAAAGTGAAGAGACAGTGCAACCCCAGCCAGTACTACAACGCCTGACAACTGCTAATCAACCCGCGCAAGAAATATACTCGCAACTGGAGCCGTACTATTGCATGCATCCATGTCCTTCCATCGTCGAACTATTAGCGGGGTAGAAATGTAGGGGTTCAAGTATTGGTAAATTTATTTGGTAGTCATTTGGCGATTAGCCTAGGAAGTAGAGTTGGAAGTAGCTTGTTGAAGCTCGCAAGATGAATAATAAACAAACATGTAAATATGTTTGAAAAAATATCTCCTCATGGTACAGACTAACCGAATCGGCGCTAGTTTGGGTTTAACGGAGACGTTAGAAACCACTCCATTCCAGTTGCTTCACTCCTTAACTACCCCCATTTGATTTTGTGTCCAATCTATGGTAAGGTTTGGCCTAACCGAGTGGGTTCCTAAAGCCACTTAAAGACATGCTTCTCGCTAACCAGAAACTGTTCTGTTATGGACCGCACTAGACTAAGGACAGCTCTAGATCCGCTCCGTCTAGTTCAATCTCTTTGCTGTGCACAAAGTACTTCGCACTTTTCACCATGTTTGAAGATACGCGTTCTTTCAAGCGTGGCACTAGATATTATAATCTCATCCATGCTTTGTTGCGAGATCTAGGTCACGATTTTTAGAGTTGTGCCCTAGAATGAATGGCAGGCTGACGTAGCCGGAGCGGAGAATAGATTTGTCCCTAGGAACGACAATATCTAGGCTCTTCATAGATGAATGGCTACCCAAAGACCGTGTAGTTGTTTGCATAGTCCATACCAGCAATGAGATACCGCAATCGTTGCGATTCGCATAGGCTCGGGAACTGGACGTTTTCTTAGTTGCGCACGTTAGATCTCAAATGCCTCAATGTAGTTTCAATTGACCCGAAGAACACATCTACAAGTAGTCAACGAAGTCGATTAGGAGACTGCACGACCTTTACTCTGAATGTTCAACTTTATCAACTACGGTATCAAGCCCATCTTTGTCTAGTAACTTTATAAGTGGTAACTCAATTTGTCTTTGCGCTGCTCAATAGCCCACTTCTCCACGCTCACCACAACACTCTTTCTTTGACCCACACATTGTCTAGCTTACAGTTCCGTACGTCTAGCCCACAGTCTCTTCCGTGGTTAGTGCTTTTCTGGTGACTATACTTAGTCTCTTCCTTTTCAAACCACTCCACATTCGACGGCCCATCCCAGAAACGATAATGCGTTTATCATGAGCCACACTTTAGATGACAGCTGGGCACTAGGTAAACCATGGCTCTAGCTATAATAAGATACTCTATTAACCCCGTCGCCCCAGCCCTTCCTCAGCGCCTCCTGCACTTGCGACTCGTTCCAGTGCCCTCCAATATCAAACCCAGACATCGCAGATTCTTCGTTCGCGAAAATCATCCCTTCAACATGAAGAACTTCAACATTCTTACTTTCATCACTCTCACCTGGCCCCTTGCGCTTGCTAAAGCTCCTGATGAATGGACCTACTGTTACCACAGCGGCGAGTACGCTTACGCCTTGGAGCTAGTCAAGGCTAGCCTACCAAGCGTCTGCGACCATCTGTTGACTCAACTTGGCTCCGCAACGTTCAACGCTACCCGTCCGATGCGAGGTGCATGTCGCACCTATCCGACCATCAGAGTGAAGGGTGACAAAGACCACAAACCGGATAAGGATAGGCCGTGGCTCCCAGTCTACTACCAGAATAAGGGTTTGCAGTGGTGGTTCCAGATCTCCTTAGTCGACCGCACGTCAGACGTGCTCAAGAAAGAAGAGTGTGTGAAGGAGCTCAAAACCCTTCTCACGAACTGCGAGGCGCATGGGCACGGCGGGAGGAGAGGAGTGAAATCATGGAGCTACCGGTAAGTTGCTACGCCGCACACATTAGGAGGCATTTTGGCTAAGCGACGAGGCAGTGCGGACCCGCAGACCACGCCTTGTGAGACGGAATGGTCAGATCCCATCTCCGGTCATGTTTTAAAGGAGGAGGAGGGCGACGAAGTCGAGTCAGAGGAGTACGAAAGGTTTCTCAACGCGACCACTAAGATTATTCAAAACAAAGAAGTAGCGGATGAAGATGAGGAAGAAAGGGCACTTGAGGCTTTGAGGACCTTCAAGCCGTTTGATGTGGACGATGATGAGTCTTTAAAATGACCAAAGCATATTAGGCCTGAAGTGGGCTTACAGTGGACGTGGCTATTCGTCTCGTCATAGCTGAGTGGTGAGCTACAATCAATGGGCTCATATGGAAGCCTGCGGCATGACGGCGGAGCACGGAACACTGGCGGTCCCTCGTATTCCTTTAATCCTGCTACTTTATTCTTCGCCATAATGTTCAAAATGCCAAACTTCTCTCTTATTTGGGATGCTGAGAATACTACAGGGATCCTCATAACTGAGGACCGGAGACGACTGGGACAAGTTTTTTTATATCGAATGGAAGCGAGGTTCTCAAGAGGGTATCCTCATTTGCTTCTTCTTTGATGGTTTTCTCGTAGACGTACTCAGAGACCGGCTTCCGGAAATCGAATTCTCTACTTAGACGGCAGCGCTATGAAGAAAAAGACGCGTCAGTTTCCGTTCAGTCTCGTGAGCGCCCCTGTTGCGGTCTCGAATATACTGGTCTGCCTTCTGGAGGAAACATACGGTACTTGCGAGGTGAATGCGTTGTAGTTTCCAAGTCTTCCGCGGACACCAGTCCGGCCAAGTTCGTGTACCTCTTACTGGAGTGTTCAGTAGAATTTCCCAATGTAATGGATACTAAGCTACCTTTGGTCTAAAGTATCACCTGCTACCTCGGGCACTCCTTACAATGGTATCCAGCGAGCAAGAGTGGAGGTAGAGCAGTGACATATCCACGTGCCCAAGTTAATGACTTGTTACTTTACTATTAGAAATCGACGGCAGCGGAAACCACTTTCAATCTGCGTACACCATGCTGACGCTGTCTGGAATAGCTTCGTGGGCTTACTAGTTGTCCAAATGCCGTATTTTTCCCTGATTCCGAACGCTGAAAATACTTTGAGGCCCCTCAAGCAACGGCAGACCGTTGCACACTTCTCTATGACAAGGTGTTGTAATCCAGGTCCACTCTAAGAGCAACTACATCGCCCCTTTTCCGTAACAACAACCCGTGTGGGGTGTACATGGCACCGCTCGGGGCGCTCAACTTCTTCCAGTCTGATCTCATGTCCACGATGTACGGGTCAAGATCATCGACAGCCCTTGATGCCCGGTCCGGTGTGAACAGCTCTACAGCAACGCAGAGGTCAGCCCTCTCGGCTGTCCCGCTGCTTTCAGAGTCCGTGTCAAGGGAGAGAAGATGCTCGGTACACGAGCGGGAAAGCTCAACATGTATATGCTGACTGTGGAATCTGATTGGAGGGGAATCTTCTGTGAGAATGCGGCGATGGATGATACCTGGACTTAGGTGGATTATCTCTTTGGATGCGATGAGCTCCACGCTGAGGTCATTTTGAGAGCGAAGAGTTGGTGAGGGAATGAACGGCGGCGGGCTGAACATAGAGTCTGTTCGTAGCGGCACGGCCACAGCATCCTTGGCTTCCTGACTGCTGACTTCATCCAGACGCGATAGCCCAGGCTGATTGTGGCTACTCAGAAGAGAATTCGAGACCACCGGGTCGCTGACAGTCGTCCGGAGGTTCGTAACTCTTGATCCTAGAGGATCAAAATCATCGGTAGCCTGTTCTTGATCAGGGGCTTCTGACTGTGGTCTGTTCGTAGATGTAGCTGAGACGGGTGGTGATGTGAAAGAAGGAAATGAAAAAATCATGCTCTCATTAGGGTGCTCCCGGGCCAATGGTCCCGCCTCAATAGACTCAAAAATCCTTCGTTCGATATCAGTATTCAGCTTTACCAAAACACTGTCCAAGTTCTCTCTCTTTCGTGGTGGAAGCAATTCTAGTTGGTCCATATCCGGGAGTGTCCATTTCTCATAGAGCGTCCCATGCGTCTTGGGCATATAGAAGCCGCCATGGAGTTTGAAGTACAGATCGCACAGAAAGCAAGCACTTTTGCTCGAGACTATTACACGTGGAGGGATGCAATCTTTGCTTTGTTGTCGCTCGTAATACAGCAAAAGCTTCATCTCTGCGTGGACTCTGAACTGGGTCTTTCGAACCTGATTTTGAACCTGGTCTCGGACTGCTGTGAGGTCGATCAGATTTCGCTGACGTAATCTTTTGACTGCAGCGTCATCGATTGCAGTCGCTTGACCATGTAGATAGCGACTCAATAGGCCGGGGGTGTTCGAGTTGATGCTTCCATTCCTCAGATCGGCGGGTCGAAGCGGGACATATTGTACCTCTATAGAGTGAAAGATCGAGAATCGAGAAGCAGCTGAGAGAAGGTAATCAGTTGCAGAATGGTAATGACCTAGTTTCTCAATTTTGCGGGTCAAATTCGCTTTTGTGCTTGCGTCCCACGGCGCCTTTGACGGGATGAGATCTAGGACACTTTTCAACCCATGCGTGTGGTAAGTGCATATAGTTGCTGACGTTTCCAAGATGCCCTTCAGCAGTGAGAGACCTTCCTGAGATCGAGCTTTCT